ATCTGTAATTGTATCTGAATGTGTATGCGTATGTGGCTGTACATGTGTATGAGGAAGAAAATGTGTATATGCGCTGTTATGTATTTCATGTACCCCACTTTTTTCATTTTTCAAATTTTTGTTTTTTAATTATTATTCTCCTCTACGAAAACGTGGTTTTTAAAATATTATTTTCATTTTGATTTTTTTTTGTACTCTCTTCCAAAATCTCAATTTTTTCAGTCACTGTACACAAAACCTTTCAACTGACATGTGACACTGATTTGAAATAATCGAACCAACAACAAAAGACAATCGCGAAAATATTAATTTTTCTTAATTTTAATTTAATTTATTTTGTATGTCTTTTTTCTCCTCATTTTCATGCATTGTCATTCAATTCTGAACTATGTGCCAAATTTGAAGTCTGTAGCTAGTCGGGAAGTTAGTTTAAAAACGATTACAAAATTCCACCCGAACAGACATACACGAAGGCAAGTTGATATAAACGTGGTAATTGCCACAACTTTTTTTTTAAAAAAAGAATAGACAAAAAACATTAGAACATATATAACTACTGAAACTTTATGTATTAATATTTTGTTAATCTGTTAATCATATTTAAATTATTGATTTACCAGATTTTAAAAATAATCAACTATACTTCAAAATGAAATATCATAGGGTATGCAGATTGTATCATTCAATACAAAGAAATAAATGAGAAAAATTTTTACCTGTTGATGATACTTATAACATTATAACGTTTCAAATTTTTTAAATTTTTTAAAAATTTCAGGGTAATTTTTGAGATTTTATCAGACAATATCTACTCTTTCTCTCCATCTTTCTTTCTCTCTGTTACTTTTGATATCGACTCAAATGACAAAGTTTGCTTGTAAGAGTTAATATTTCTGAAAAATTAACTCCATCTGTCAATTGTATGACTTGATTTAACAAAGTAAACTTGCAATGCACAAGTATGAAATCGAAATATAAGATAATTAAAAATTAACATGAAATTTTTAAGTATCATAGAAAAAGAATATCGGTAAGCCAAAAACTTTCTGCTTTTGTACAAAGAATAGATGATTTGAGATAAACATAATGGATAAATAGAAATTTTGAAAATTCAGTGCCTTAATATTATAACAAGAAAATAAACAGAAATATTATTTTCTAATATTGAAACATAATTTTTATTAAAATGTATTTCTTTTTTATTATTGTAATCCACGTTTAAAGTAGAATTTTTAATACCACCCAAAAATTGAATTATAAGTTTTGAAATGAATAGTGATAAAATACATCTGCAAAAACCCAAGTGCATAGGAAAAGTCCCCTAACATTTATAACTGATTTGCGAAAAGAAATAATGTTTCCAATTGTGCCTTTTTTCCAATTTTACCTTTCTTTCCAATTTTACCACCTCAATGGGGCATCATTACCTGAATGAGGTACATGGTAAACCAACCAGTGGCTGAATGCATTACAGTGAATTAACAATTAACGAATATTTAAAAAATATCAGATATTGAAAGTTTTTCTCGTTATCTATTTGGAACAGTAGCTGGTACTACCTTACAATATTAAACCGCTTGATTCTATATTAAATTACCTCGCCAAAGAAGCGCCTTGAAAAATATAAACTGAACTGAATACAGTCTCCAGTATTAAGTCTGATTGACCGTTTTCAAGATTAATTTTCTTACTGTGTTGTAATCAATAATGGTAGTTAAATTAGCGTTATTTAAAATTTTTGTATAATGGATTTCTTATAAAGGAGTTCAGAATATAATGAATATTTATTAAATGGCTAACCAAGTTGTGAAAAATCAACACAATGAGTACATGATCATTCTCTTATGTTTTTGTATATTGCTGAAAACATTAGAAAAATATTAACTTTTCACATACCTTTACCCATATTATGCATCAAAGGCTTGATAAATATACAAAAACACCTTATAACCACAGACTGAAATGTACAGACTTAATGAATTGTCAAAATAATATCATCACATTTAAACAATTATATAGCCATATTCATGAAAGGAAATTAATTATAACAGGACTTATATTTATAAATGACTTTTGAATATGGTAGTTAGCCGAATTATTTCTAGGTTAGAGAAATTAATAAAATCTGTTTAATTGTTTCAGATATATTAAAATAAATTAAAAATTAATAATACTTATAATAATGATGTTTTTTCATTTCACTGTATTTTCAAAGAAAAGATAACAAAGAAAATGTGTTAATTGAAAAAATATGGTTTACAATGATGGTTTAGAATTTATGTTAATTGCAAAAACGGTGCAAATATTAAGGCGACTGCCTACCTTGAAATGAGTGATTTCGTCCAAAAAATCAATTTTCTGTTTAATACATTTTTAAAAAGTATGAACTTTCAAGATTCCAAAAATGTTTTACTTTTAATTTTCTGATAATTATTTGTAAAGTTATAGCNTTCTTATTTGTGTCATTTTTAATCCCCTTTAATATAACTAGGCATAAAATTTTTGAAAAATTTATTTTTTTTAAAAAAAGTTCACCGAACGTGGGCAGTCGCCTTAAATTAAGAAGTAGAAAAAATAACATTGAGGTTGCAGTCTACTAGAACACAATAACTTATGTGGTAATCTTGACAAATTACTGAAATGGAAATGGAAGTCGATTTAGAGTGTAATTACCAGGATTTACATTTGCTTTAAAACAAATAATATAGAGAGTTTGTTTCTTCATTAAGCTATAGTAGAGTTTCTAATAAATAAGATATCTTCTTACTTTTTTTATCTGAATAAATGCAAGATGCCTTTTGAAAGTCATTTTACTTATGACCAGAAAAGCTCAGAGTACGTACTTTCATCCTTGCAGTGCTCTTTTCAAACAAGAGGCGCACCTTCCTGATTTATTTGGAAAACGTCCAAAGGCTGGCGAGCTTGGCTTGTTCAAGTGTTATTGGAAACAGCAAGCAAATAGATGAGAGGCTTTCAACAACAGATCTCGATAATACTGCACAAGATGAGCCGCGATGGCTCAGGGGATAGAGTGTTCGCCTTCCAATTTGGTGAACCGGGGTTCGATCCCACCGATGGCTGGTCGATACGAACTCTGCATCTGGCTTGCAACAACCACAGTGCTGACGTGAAATATCCTCAGTGGTAAACGGATCATGGGTTAGAGTCCCCTTGCCATCAGGCTATCCGTGGGAGGCTCTCGTGGTCTTCTTCTCAATGTAACGCAAATGTGGGTTAGCTTCATCAAAAAGTCCTCCACAAAAGCAAATTTCTCCCAATATTTGATCCAGGAGTTCCCTTGTCTTCTGGATTGGGTTCAAAATTACAAGGCTACGGAATTGAACATTAGTAGTCGTAAACCCAAAAATTGGGCCGGCTGTCCAATGACGGTTATAAAATAAAATAAAATACTGCACAAGCTGTGAGATCAGAAAAAGGCATATATTTAGTTTAATATTCCAAAAGCAACGCTTTACTACAAAATTATGACGGGTTACTAGTAATGAAGATAGCAGTAGGCGTGCGAGATGAATACAAGAACTTCTGAGCACTTCTGAGAAAATTGTTTTGAAAGATTAAATAGTTGAGACGCTAAAATAGACTTTCCCATGCACATGGATGATGTGAAAATAGCTCTCTGCGACGTTTTGACAAAAATTGAAAAGATGAACCCGTTTACAGAAAAAAAATTTCTTAATGACAACCCACATTGATCATTTTGTTCATCAAGGAATAACTTTAAAATAACTAACCTTCTCTGGAAGAAGCTATTATTTGAGAGTCATTTTTAGGAATTTCAGAAGTATCTTGAAAAAAAAAATTTGGTAGAAAAATATATATAATGAAAGCACCTGGGCAATGTATGACAGACAAGGCCTCATCCGGAAATTGACTAGATATAAAGAAAAAAATCAGAATAAAAATCTGCGCTATCTTCTTGTTTTTAGAGAATTTATTTAGCATCTCAAATACCGAAGTATAAGATTCCTTTTATCATTAAAATTTACAAAATAAGTACATTGTATTATTCTATCACAGGCGAAAACTTGTTTTCCAGTATTTGCATGACTTACTTAACATTAAAAAAGAAATCTCAGTAAAAGTGTTGATATAATCTCAGATAAAATGCTTATTCTCTGAAAAATGTCGTGTTTATTATCAGGTAGGAAAATTTCATTCGGGTAGGAAAATTTCTGACTACTTGATCCTCTTCCCCCCCCCCCACCAAAAAAAAAAACANCCCCCCCCACAAAAAAAAAACTTCAAGCAATACTTAATAAAAATTCTGTAATATTTCTTTACATAATATTTATTTTATAAAAGCATATTGAGGCTGTCATTCACCTAAAACAATATATTTACTAATTATTATGAACTGTTTATAGTCAGGCTTTACTTAATCGTCTATTCTCTTGTGCATAGATTTAAATTTGATCTCAAAGATTTAAATATTGGCCAAATGGTCAGTTCACTTAAATGTGCCATTTATTTTAATTTCAAATTCTAGTCCAATTTTTTTCAAGTAGAAATCAAATTTCAAGTAGAAATCAATTGAATTATTCACCTGTCTTAATACTATAAGCAGTATCAGTAAAAAGAATTCTATGATTAACTTTTAAAGTATTGCTTAGAAATTTTTCAAAGTTCTTCATATGATTTTTCTCAAACCTTAACTATCATTTCCTAACTATCATAAGCAAATAATGATATTTTTTAATCTTAATAGAAAGAATCGAAGAAATTTGGGGAAGTCCGCAATTAAAAATTTTTTACTATAAACTAGCATTGCTCCCTGCATTGTGATTTTATAAAATACAATGCTTATTCACATAAAATAGAAATTGGACCTGTCCCATTAATAAAAAAATTCAAATGTTTTTATGATTTACAAATTTTACTGAACTGTTTCCTCTTGCTCGTTATACTAATTAATTGCAGTTATATTTTAATCATTATTTGCTTCAGAAACTTTTAATATAAATTTGTAATGTATTTTCCAGGCTCTTCTTCAGGCCACGAGAACCAACGAGGTCCTACATTTTTTAGTGAGCCACCAAATAAAATTGAATTCACAAATGACACTGGGACTATAGTAACTTGCTCAGCTCAAGGTCATCCCCCGCCTGTGATAAATTGGATACAACAGGACAGCAACATCCTTCGAGATGTTAAAGGCATTAGGCATACACGACCAGATGGCTCACTCGTCTTTCCCCCATTCGCTGCTGAAGATTTCAGACAAGGTGTACATGATGCTGTATACAGATGCGCAGCCACTAATACAATTGGAAGTATCATAAGCCGAGAAGTTCATGTTAAAGCAGGTAACTTTTGTGTTCGTATAATCTCAAGACAGATATTTTTTTTGAATTGGAAAAATGAACTTTAATCCATTTTATACGTAAAGTACAGTTAAATTGTCCACGGGATAGGGTATACTTTGAGCAATGTAGACTAAATCCAAATATAACGTGAATAAAGCACGAACAAAAGCACATAAATGGACATAATATAATTCAAGTTTCATAAACAAGTACTTTCCTCAGTGTTTAAGCACCAAATGATCAAAGTTATCATTTGGTGTTTAGACTCTGAAATACTTTAAAGAGAATGCAACGAATTCCTTTTTTAATTAGTGAGAGACAAATGATGCTATCTCTTGAAGTATTTGCGGGGAAAGTGTCATCTATAGTTTCATTGATACCTGCAAACGACCTCTTTGTAGGTAAATCGTGGTATTTAAGATTGAAAATCGAATCAGATTCGACACACGCGTGTGACGTCAATTATAGGAATCCAATTAAATCTGATTTAAATCACCTGGTTAGATGTAATCACTTCATTTCTTCTCAAGTTGCAGTTATATAAATCAAAAGCAACGGCTGTAGGGATCGGAACAATGTTCATCTTATGAAAAAAAATCCATTTTTCAGACGTATCTCCAGAACAATATAAGAGCAAATAGTTCTGGTGTTATGAGAGAGAAACAAAAGCAGCATCTCCATTTTATCATAATAGATTATTTCATATTCAAAAAATAAAAAAAATCAATTTGCAAAAAATAGTTCAGCTTGATTTTTGAGTGACAACTTCGGTACCTTCCTTCCTTCTTAAAAACATAATATGAATAATCTAGTTGAATAATTAAATAAATACTTATTTTTAAGCACCTAATTATAGTAACAGACGTGACATAATAAAAAAATACTTACTGCCTCATCAACCCTAGATAAGATATTTGAAATAGCTGCTTATTTCTTTTCTAATAAGTCTGGAATAATAAATAAGATTACATTCATTTTAACTGGGTAGTTTAATATATGTGTGTAAATGCATGGTAACAATTACGGGCAGTGATATTTAATTATGCAAAGCTTATATTTTTATAATTTATTTATAAACTTTAACGAATTTCAGTTGAAATGTTTAACACAAGTATAAAAAATTACGGAGTAGATTGTTTTCGCTTTTCGAAAGTAAATTTAACGATGATTCTTTTTCTACTAATTTCTTTAAGAAAAAAAAAGTTTTTTTCTAAATGATATTTTATAATTTCACGTTTCAAGCAGTTGATGTTGTTGTTTTATAGTTTTATGCCATTGATGCTGATTAATAATTTTATATTTATGTATATTTAATATTTATATATATGTATTACTTGACATTCAAAAATGTTCATTTCAATTAGAGAAACCATGTCAAAGTCTCCAACACCTACTAAATTTAGGCATCAATGCATTGTAAAAAAATTAGAGATCAAATTACGGTATAAATCTAGTTAACTCCAAATTGTTTGCATCATCTAAAAAATTAATTTTACAGTATATCCATTTCTGTTGCAAAATATCATACCGTAATTTGTATTGTAATATTTATTTAGTTAAGATTGATTCAATGCTTTCATGATAACTATTGCTGTAAGAATTACGATATACCAGATTTTGTTCTGTAACATATTCAAATAAAAATTTATTTTATAGTAAAAGACCCAAACCCTTAAAAACGGTACTTTTTACCGTAATTTGATCTGGAATATTTTTCCGTGTCCACAGAATTATGAAAACAATAGACCGCTAAATAGTGCGTAAAACTTCAGTTTTTTGCAAAGTTTCCAAAAAAAAAAAAAAAA